AAATGTCACCCCATACTATTCCACCTTTAGTTTATAATATTTTCTTTTGATAATCTCTTAAGGACCTTCTTTACATAGAAAAGATTTCAAGCATTTGTAGGTGGCTCTTTAAAAGACCAAAAGAGTACCTAATACAGATGTCTTCAATGTGGTTGTTGTGGAATAGGATTTTTTACTGAGAGCTTGGTTAAAAGCCAAAAAACTGTTGTCAGCAGCTCGGGTAAGTTTTCCATATGTCCACTTGTGAATTCACATAGAGTTAAATTATAAGGAGGACCGTATAATATTCTGAAATCTATCTTGTATGTTTGTTAATAAAGATATATGGAGAACACACAATCTGATGCTTGCATTGCAAGTATGAAAGGAGATCATCCAACAGACCCAATCGGGGCTGCACTCTGTAGGTAACTAATACAATATAATTCTCTTCCATTTGACCATGTGTCAGTGCCTGGTGATTGGCACAGCACTGTCATGTTGGGGTCAGTAGTGTCCTGAGCCCTGTGTAATCTCTTACTGGAATGACCTGGAGCTTACACAGGGCTGTCTATCTTTGCCCATGGAGGCTGAACAGAGTGACAGGGGAGCCAAGGGTTGAGTATTGCAGATTTGGTGTGTATTAAAGGGAAACATGTTTCCTTTCCCTGCATGGGCATGTTACAAATGTATTTACAGCTAAGCTTTATATCAAACATTCTATATTTTGATTTTTAAAATAGACAAACTGAAATTAATATTTTTATGAAAATTATAAGGACAACACAACATAAGAAGTTTTGTTTAAGTCAAGTAACTAATAATGATATTATCTGAAAAGTCTCTACAGGAGATCCAGCTTTCTAAAGCCTTAGCTTCAGCTATGGTATATTTAACCTGAATAGCCCATGTAGTGAATAGACCTGAGCAAAAACAATTAGATTACACACACTGTTGAATGACTAAAGTGACTTAATCCCTCCCATACTCCTAACAAAGGTGGCATTGCCAGGATTATTCAGGTATACATAGGCTGCCAACAGCCTTGCAGTCTGGACTTTCCTATTAGAAAGTCCGTAATAATGTGTTATATGTACACACTCTAATATAGTCTTACTTGTAAAGAAGTTATATAAAACATTGTATTAAATAGACCTAAAGAATGTTATAAAATGCCCTAAAAACCATTATATTTTCCCTTTTCCTTTTTTTATTTTTAATGAACGTTTGCCATTTTTTTCATAGGTGAGCGTGTATAATTTTATTCCCATGTTTTAATATTTTAAAACAATAAAATGTATTCTGTTGCATGTAAAGTTTAATTATAGTATTTTGTACCAATTTTGGGAAACTTTTACAATAGGAGAAATCCATGTTAAATATGAAAGCTAAATTCCAGGTAGGTAGCTAAATACACAGTTGAAACACGTATAAGTGAAGTATCCAGTCTGGCCAAAGGACCTCTGACTTTCCTCCAACTTTCCCGCATCTGCATTCTAGGTCCTATGACAGTATTGAGGTTCCTAGGTTAGCATAAAAGCCAATCCTAGCATTTTCAGAAGGATGCACGCAATGGCAGCCCCCAGGTTTACTTTGTCTTTTTGTGCAGGTGAATATTGGAAGGTAATCAAAATAATAATGCAGGCATTTACACCAGCTGTGTCAAAAATACATTTAATGATGATTTTAATAAAGACATCACTATATTAAGATTGTGTTTTTATATTTGCCTGAAGTTCTGCTATAAGTCGATGCTGCTGTTACTGTGTGATCAGCAGTGTTTGGGTATTATTGGGGTTTTGCATTTTTAAAGAGTTTTCAGGGGAGTTGCTAGGATTTGGAAAGATCCAGTGCATTTGGAAGAGCGGAATGACGTTTTGTGTGTAGCACAATGCAACAAATTGTGTTTAGACCAAATTGTGCAAACAGTGGGAAGGGCTTAAAGTGTATGGGTTAATAAAACCCGAGCCTACTCTGCTCTTGGTCAAGAGTACATAAAGCCCAGAGTACTGGAGTGCGTAACAGACAGAGTGAAGGTGCTTAGGAATGCATATTGCACAGAGTGCAGGGAACAGGAGTGCATAATGTACAGTGTTCCGGGATCAGGAATGCGTAATGCACAGGGTGCAGGGAAAAGGAGTGCATAATGCACAAAGTTCATGGATCAGGAATGCATAGTGCACAGAGTACAGGGGTCAATAATGCACAGAGTGCAGAGGTGACGAGTAAGTAATGCACAAAATGCAGAGGTCAAATGTAATGCACAGCATTCATGGGTGAATAGTAAGTAACGCACAAAGTGTTCTCAAAGCAAATATTCCCCTCTTCTCCCAATACTCCCCCAATGACAAAATCCACCTCCTATGCAAATTCCCCCTCCTTCCCTGAATTGTACTCGCTGGACCATGGAATTGCATCTTCTGGTAAGTGCCACAGGTCCTTACCTTACCTAAGGTAAATCTTCCATTGCACTCTTATGCAGCTGCCGGCTTTGGTCCCTGCCTTCCGCCTGTCAGACCTGTAGCACACAAACGAGGGACAGGCAGCGGGCAGGCCTTTACATTATATATATTGCTGGATGGTGGGATAGGTCAGAAAGCATGGACCTTTGGAAGGTACTGTAAATATGGGGAGGAATGTGCACAAAAGGTGCTGGTTACCATGGTCTCTTGTTATTATATTACTAAATGGATGAACATGCCATTGAATGGCTGACCTCTCATCAATTGTAGGCGACCATCTGCCACCTGTCAGACCTATAGCCAAGTGGGAGTTTTAGAGCACTTCCCTCAGCTTTGTGCTACAGGTTTGAAAGATGGTGGTGACATATGGAATAAAAAAAATGTGTATCGTTGTGGCATCAGGAGCAAGGGCACTCACCAGCAGATGTGGGCAAGTGCCCAGGGTGCCTGGCGCTAACAAAGGCCATGCTTCACACAAACATTTGATTAGTGTTACTTTGGATATGATGTGTTTCATGCAAAAGTACCTTTCGTTTCTTTACCTGATGTTTGCAAGCTCTCCGTGTTTGTGTTCTAATATTTACTATGAATGGGGCTCTGTAAGGGTGGACAGATTGTTAAGAACCATACTGCCAAACAACCAGCCTTATTCTTTTGTTTGACACTTATTGTACATAATCGGTGGCAGACAGGGCTGGGCCGAGGTAAGAGGTGGCACCTTTGGCACTTCAGCAGCGAGGGGTGCAAAAAAGGGCGGAACTTGCAAACTATGCCGCTCAAGTTGTTCATAGCTCATGGGGAAAAGGAGGACATTCTTTGGCCTTTTTACCCTGGGTCCTAAAGAATCTTGCCCAAGCATTAGTGGCAGAAAATGCAAGCTGAGCTAGTTTTTTGATCAGAGGCTGTTGACTCTGAGGCTCATCATGCTCTTGATGTAGGAATAGGGGCAGCCTTTTTATGTATCTGAACAGGAACATGTAGAGAAATGTAATATTGGAGATGGAGCCAACAGATGGAGATAGCCTTTGCGGGTAGGGAAGGGAACTGGTTCGGCACTTTGCACACTTGTATGAGATAAGGGTTATTTGAAGAAGAAAATATTATTTAAAATATGTTGATGTTTATTTGTGTATGCATACAGTATTATACTAATACTTAGCTGTGTGCTATGAACCTTCTCAGGTTTAATTCTGCATTTTAGTAAATCTCCCCCACATAATACCAAGCTGTTCTTTTATAGGGAACCTATAATGAGAGAGCTGCATTTACTGTCATTCCTGATGCCTTCTGCTGACTGTCATGCTGACCCACTTCACTACTTAGAGAGCAAGGAAGTCCAAACAAGTATTTAGAGTCAAACACTCTTTACCTGTATGCGTGTTCTTCATCAGTGACTTATTAAATAGTGAAGCCAGAGATTCAGCATGAGAGGTAGAAATTCTCACGTATTAAGCTTGCATTTGGGTTAGTGGTCCTTTAAGCACAATCACTATTTCTGATGATTAACATTTTAAAAAAATGATTACACCTTTGCCACTTTGTATGTAGAGTGAAAAACGGATTATGCTGTACACATATTTTATCTAGTAGGGGACCACTGCTGCAACAGCTTCACTTTCTCTTCCAAATGTTTTAGTTTTTGATGATGATTCCATTTTGCTTCATGAAAGTGAATATATGCTCTACAGTATATCTACGATGAGTCTAACCTTCATACATGGCCCTTTGACCTTAGTTCTAAAAATGTTGCTGGATCTTTTGCATATATGTTTTAGAGCTTAGCTCTTAGTAGATCCCCTCTCATCTACTTGTCAACTGCTTCATGGAACTCCAGATAAGTAATCTGTTTATCTATAAGGAAATCCGCCCTTACAGTCCTGATGGTAAACCTCTGAAACTTCATAGCCGGTACATGAACATTCAGGGATGTCCATGAAATAGTGACGTTTACTAAAATGTGCTTGTTTATGGATTCTGAATTAAAGGCTCAGGCCATGTAGTTTGTGTTTAGACCCCCAAACATTGCATTTCCCTTGTTGCAGTAATGTTTTTGTTGGAGTCTATTGCTGGGATTAAAACCTGTGGGTCAGGAGGACAAATTGGGTCCTAGAATAAGTTCTTGGCCCCCAGATTATCATATATCCCATTCATTCTGGTTGCATTTGATATTTTTGGGTTCAAAAATAATAGGCAAGTTAAAGGCAAGGTCCAAGAAACGTGTTTCTGTGACACACGGAGTGACCTTGTGTATAAATAGCCTTACTGATGTGAAGCACCTTCACTTTACAGGAACATGAGTGGAATCTTTCAAAATACAGTCTAGGCATATGCCACATTTAAGTGTATTTGAAGTCCTATATTTATGTCAGTGGTCCCCCGAGAGAACGTTCACAGCTCTCTCATGATACGCTATTTCCAAAACCTCAATGTAACATTCAGCATAAATGATTGGACTTTAAGGGGTGCAGCATAATCATCCACCAGCCTTGGACTTAGTTACAGAACTTGAACATGTTGTCATTGCTACAGCATCTTAGAAAGGCAAAACACTAGTTTACATGGCACATGTAATTAATTGTGGGTGCCTAAGAGAAAGCAATGCGGATTAAAGAGCCATAGACATCCTATCTCCTTGCATAAAAGGTAACTATTAGATCTCATTGAATAAATGGGCACATTTCAGTCCAAAGAAAGCAAAGCAAGGCCTGAGTAAAATGACAAGATTCATGCACCAGAGAATAGTGTGTTTCCTTTTGTTTTTGCTTTTTTTTTTTTTGCATCTCATTATGCCGCTGATAAATTTCAAGCAAAACCATGGCAGTGAGTTTATATCTAAAAACAACTGAAATCCCATAATTACAATGGAATAAATATCAATATATATATGTCCCTCTTACACATATTTATATATTGTTATGAGCACAGGACAAAGACAGCACAGGAAAGCAGGCAGATCGGTGCTCAGTCCAATAAAAAAAGATTAACATTTGCCTCTGATGTTACAAAATCCATCTTGTAAGGGAGGCTTTATATGAGAAGATAAAGCAAATCGGTATACATAACTCTCCACATTGCCATACAGGTGTGGAGGAGTTGTCTTGTGTCATACATGCAGTACACACAGTTTATGTATGTCTCCACAAACAGTGTACATGCAGGTGTGATATGCCATGGCCATGTTCATGGGGTGTGGGGTGCTTCTTGCGTGGTCAGGTTGTCATCCGTGGACAATTAAACATTCCAGTTATGAGCGGAAAACCCTAAGAGAGAAAATGTAAACAAAAGTTATGTTAGCTTTTATATATATAGAAAAATATGATGACCTTTCTCAACAATGCACCAGTATTGGCTTAAACCAATCAGCTAGAAATCAAATATATTTGGCTAAATACAGTAAACTGATGCCATTGGTACAGGAATCTGCACATAACTGGTTTTCAAATTCTGAAACTCTAAAACTGGAGACAATAGGATATGGCCACCTTTTAAGTCTAAAGCAACTCTTTAACGTTACAAAAAAATTCCAAAGCATAGCTCCTGCAATAGGAGACACTGAAAATGTATGCTGTCTTCAAGCAGTGCAGTCTTAAGTATTCAGCAATGTCGTAGTGCTGTAGGGGCTGGCTGGAGGTACCACTGAGCACAGTGAGAGCATTAGACACTGTACTGCTGTACTGCTTGAGGACTGCAGAGTTTGGACTGCCATTAATATGTGGTATCTTCTACTGCAGCCAAGCCTTGGATGTTTTGGGGAAAAGCAACAGAGTCACTTTAAGAAGATTCTGGCTCAGAGGAGATTAACAGCTAAGAAGACCATGATGAGTTATGTATGCTTAGATAATGAAGCTGCTAGGTAAGAAGATGGAAACAATGAAGCTGATTTACCATAGCAATTTAAGATATGAACTCAATAATCTAAAGAATATAGATTCACTTTAATAATCTGTAAGACCCTGGCATAAGCTGGAGTGTCCTTAATTTAAAATTAGTGTTTGCACCTAGGCTGTAGCCAGCCTGCGCACTGTTTATGCTATCTGTGTTTGTTGGATTTTGCCATAAGGACATTGTTTGCTTCTGCCTGCCACTGGGGAGTGTTCTCCAGTATATAGAGTGAGAAGATACTATGTTGTGGATTATGAATATTTATTTCAACCTGGCCATTTACCGAGAGGTTTGTGCCAGTGATCTACACTAAGGTACTAAATATTTGGGGAAGCCTTCAAGATGGATCGTTCCCTCCCAGGCTTGCCTAGAGAGGAGGTAATGTTGGAATGCCCTTGCCTCCCAGTCCCTGCCTGTGTGTATTTTTAGCAGGGTTTAGTCCTTCCATCCCAGACTTTGTCTGGAGAGGATGTATGTGTGTGTGTGTGTGTGTGAACAACCCAGTCTTCCCTCCCAGGCTTTCATGAGCGTGTGAAGGGCACAGCCCTGCCACCCAGGCCTGCGGTCTGGGGAGGGTGTGAGTCCAGGGACAACTAGCTTGTAAGAGGGGCTGATGATACATAAAGGCAGGTGTCGGTCTGCCCTACGTTATCTACATTAGCCTGTAATTGAGGGTAACGATACTACTGAGCAGTGGACTTTTTTTCTGCTGTTTTAAAATATCCTGTACCCTCAACCCTCTTTCCCCTGGACAACTGAACCAATAACTTTTGCCAAGGAAGATGAACGGAAGGGAAGTCTGTCTGTCTGTCACCGATGGTGGGTGAGTGCCTGGGTGGAGCAACAACCAGATCACCAATAGAAAGACTAGGAGGGCCCGTTAAATCCAACAGCTCCTTTGCGGGTCATTGCCACAACTCTAATAATGTGAAACGCAAATTCCTGTTTATTTAATTCATCTGCACATGACTGGGTGCTCAAAGTGAACACACCTACAATTTATTCAGTGAAGATTCTTCTTTAGCAAATTAGCTTCAATGAGTCACTTTACTAATTTATTCCTAACATCAACAATGATAAAACATAGTATTACACTTACTCATCTGAGTTTTTATTGCTTTCTTCAATAAATGCAATAGATTCAGATCTGAGGCGATTTGTAACTTCGTAAGTCCGCAGCGTTACTCCAAAAATATCTTCATGGTATCTATTGTCATCCTAAAAAAAGAAACGAGTAATTGTGTGTTTCCCATAAACAAACTCTCACTAAAGGTTTCTCTTTTAAAACGGACGTAAACTCTTTTTAAAGTGCTGACAGGCAAGCTTTTATGACAGAAGAGACTTAAAAGGTATCTTCTGCCATCGGGGCCCAGCTCATCAAGCGTCTAAAGACTCAGGCGCCAGAAGAAGACCAGGGCAAAGATAGGAGTGCTGACATTGCAGCGCTGGAGGGGATTGATTTGGCAGGTAAGTCTGCCATAATCTGCTAATATGATGTGTATTCAGGCACATTATGGCTAAAAGCTCCTGGGGGGCCTTTTTTTTTAAGTCTGCTTTATGTCTGCTCTACCCATATAAAATGATTCAATATTGCCAATCCTCTACTTCACATATAAAGTAACTGTATATTGCACAGGAAAATGTACACACATTAGGCTTGTTTAGTAGAGCACAGCAATGTGCAATGATTATGTGCAGGGCTTACTAGCCATAGTATTACACGTGTCTCATAAACAGAAGAAAATATTTAATTTTGTTGATTTTCGGAATAGTGCATTTTACACAGGAACATTGCACTATTCACCAGTTCATAAAAAAAGCATGATGATCGTGAAATGAAGAAGACAATATTGTGTCACTGCTTGGCATCTGCTGGTTCAAGTAGGTACTGCAAGTCTTTATTGTGATGTTATATTCTGACTGACAGATATACTCATCTGACATATACAAATACTGATAATATTTAATATTGTTGTAGAGTTGTAGCTGATCATATAGGTCAGTTAAGTGTATTTTTTTGCTTTTCTTTTTCTATCTTGTATTTAAGAAAATCAGCTAATAATTGTTTTGTCTTCCTCTGACAAAAAAACCTTCCTTAAACCCTATTGCTATCTAAAACATTTCTAGAAAAGCTCCCTGCAAAAGAAAATGCCTAATAATTACTCCTCTGGCAGTCGCTGACTCTGATCTTCTCTCTCCTTAAGACATATGGCAACTGCAGAATCTTTAACATCCAACACATGTTGGATGCCTGGTACCTTGCTACACTCTGTGGATCCATCCGCTGGCCCTTACATCATTACAGGGCACAGTAGTGACATAAAAACTACTGAAGTGAGCAAAGTTAGGACTTTCCACCCGCTGAAGAGGTAAAAAATAAGCATATCCTTTTGCAGGCAACTTTTTTTTCCTGCATGGGGTAAAAGGTGATATGAAAATGAAATTGAAAATGAAATTTTAAATGGAAGAACAGAGGAAAAGGAGATGATATTGTAGTTAGAGGCACCTGGACACAGTAGGGATCAGGTGGACAGATTATGGGGGACATTTATAATTTCCGGATCACAACAAGGCAATGCTAAACCGAAGCAGTGAAACCGACTGTGCAACAGATTTACTACGAGGTTAAAGCTTGATTTATAAATTACTCCTTCTGCTACCCTAAAGTAGAGTCGGGTAGAATAAAACCTGAGCCTGACCACTTTTTAATTATCCATCTCGGTTGAGTGAAAATCTGTTTCATCTTCAGTGATAAATCTCTCTCAGAACTTTGCAAACTGTCACACTTGGCTGCCCACAATTTCAGGCACAAGGGTTGCAAATGCACAGTAAAACACTGGGTAGAAATACATGTGCTATGTGTGATTTAAAAAAAATAGCAGAGTAGGCATAGAAGAGACAGACACTGAGAACAAAGAGCAAAGCAAACATGGAACAGAGACAAGGGGCTCTGAGGGATTGAAAGTGAGTAGCAGCACAGAAACTAGCACCTCCTTGTAGTAATGGGGGTCCTTGGTTTGAATCCCAGCCAGGATGCTATCTGCATGGAGTTTACATGTTCTCCTTGTGCTTCCAGGGGTTACTTAAAGTGACATTAAACCCTCAGATTTTTTTTAACATAAACCAATACTGTAATGTGTGCCTTACTGTAATCCATAGTTGTTTCCCTTCTCTTTGTTGCTCTTCCTTTTAAATCCTCATGTCTTCTCATGCTGGGGGAGAACTTCCCTTTGCAGCTGAGTGCCTCTTCCTGTAGTGCTGGCTCAGGTTGTGAACCTTCACACGGACACCATGTATCCATTTCAGAGACAAGGCAGTCTGCTGCAAAACAGAAGTTCTGCCCAGCATGAGAACAGATACAGATTTAAAAGGAAGAGCAGCAAAGAGAAGGGAAACTACCATGGATTACAGTAAGGCACACATTACACTATTGTTTTATGTTAAAAAATCTGAGGGTTTAATGTCACTTTAAGTTTTATCCCACTCTCCAAAGACATACTGGTAGATTAATGGGCTTTTGTCTAAAATGGCCCTAGCATACGAGGTATGGACCTTAGATTGTAAGACCCTTGAAGGTAGGGACTGAAGTGAATGTGCAGTATGTGAAGAATTGTGTAAATTGTAGGTGTTATTTAACCACATTGGAGGTAATTGTTATACTGAGAACAGTGGAGAAAAGATAGGGGAGTTTGTCATTGAAAGGATAGCCAAGAAAGGGGGAGAGAACACCGAGAAGGAGAGCAGAGAATGAGAATGTAAACAAGCACCCTCCACTTACAATTACAGGAAACAGGTCCTTCTCTCTTTACGGTATATTATACAAGGTTTGATTCTGTTCACATTCAAGTAGGTTGTACCTCCATTATAGGCATTCCCAAACAGGAATGTTTTGTAACATCAATGTAAAGCAATGGGTTAAAGGAGAACTATGGGGTTAGGGCTTTTCGCCATAGTTCTCCTGAGGGTAATGGGAGGACACAAACTAGCGTCCTCCCGTCACCCTAAGCTCAGTATACCGCGAGCTACAGCTCGTGGTATACTGAGACGCCGCAGCTGAAGCGGATCCCGCTGTACCTGCCCCCTCCCAGTCCGTTCTGCCAGTCAGCGCTGGAGGATAGGAGCAGGGAGGGGGGAATCCAGTCATTCCCCTGTCACGGCAGAGACCCGTGACAGGATCGAGAAGTGAGCGAACGCTGGTATGTGTTTGCTCACTTCCCGATCTACTGAGCCGACCTGTGACAGTTTCATTGTCACAGGTCGGCTAGAACTATGAGGATGAGTGAAAAGCACTCACCTCATAGTTCTCCTTTAAGGGAGGATATAATTATGCCACTGATGTATACATATGGTCATAGCCTTTTGTGTTTGAACATGCACTCACCCTCAGTTTGCTGATGAAGGCTCCGGCCTCTTCGGTGGTCATATTGCCACTCTGCTTTACAATGTAGTGGAGACTCTTGAGAACATCACCAGCCATAGTGACATCACCACACACATATATGTGTCCTCCCTGCTCCTTCAGTGCTTTCATTGTTACATCCGACAGCTGTTCACGTAGGATGTCCTGTACATATTTCTGTAATTCAATGCAAGATAGTGTGAGTTTATTTATTATTATACAGGATTTATATAGCGCCAACAGTTTGCGCAGCGCTTTAAAATATAAAGAAGACATTACAATCACAATACAATTCAAGACAAGATGGTAAGGAGGGCCCTGTCCCCGAGGGCTTACAATCTAAAAAGGAGGGGTCAGTGATACATGAGAAGGTGGCTGTGTGGGGATGAATTGTTTGAGAACATGATGGTCGAGTGGTTAGGTTGAGGTGGAATAGGCTTCCCTGAAGAGATGAGTCTTAAGGGATCGCCTAAAGGCAGTCACAGTGGGAGATAGTCGGACAGGTTGGGGTAAAGAGTTCCATAGGATGGGACTGACTCTAGAGAAGTCCCGGAGGCGAGCATGGGAGGAGTTGACGAGGGCGCTGGAAAGCAGGAGGTCTTTGGAAGAGCGGAGGGGACGGTTAGGGTGATACTTTGAGACAAGGTTTGAGATCCAGCCGGGGCAGATTTGTGGATGGCTTTGTAAGTCGTTGTTAATATTTTTGCAGATCGCACTGGACCGGAATGCAGGCCCAGTGCGATCCGGGTGCGGGCGATCGCACTGTGGGCGATGCCATTGACTTCAATACAACCCCACACCCCTTCCCGCACCTGAACGCAGGGAGTCGGCCGGCTTACATTCCAGTGCGCCCTACATGTCCCGGCGTCCTGTCCTCCCGTAGTGCTCGTGTGGCTGACGTTGCACATGGGGAGAGGTGTCCTGCCCCTTTCCATCTGCAGCGTCTGACACATTTAACCGGCAGCCGCACGAGCACCACGGGAGCATAGCCGTAGCCAGCTCCTTTTGCGCCTGAGGCAAGAATTTTTTTTTTTTTACTATTTTTTATTTTATTTTCATTATTTCTCATTTATTTTTTTTATTTTCGTAATTTTAATTGTCATTTTTTTTACTCTAAACAGCCCCCTGATATTTCCCTTTTAAAATAGAAAAAGAAATTGAGGACACAAAGTCCTCAATCTCTTTTTCTGCAGCCTCTATTCTAAATGAATGGAAAGCACAGAGGCTTCCCATTCATTCATATGGAGGAGAGGACATTGTGATCTACCAGTGATCGCTACGCGATCGACTGGTAGATCGCGATCGACCTTGTGGGCACCCCTGCGCTAATACAAGGCTTTTAATGAATTTGTTGCTGCAAACTATGCAGGCTAGGTATGCTTACCACATGCTTTTAGTGCTTTATGATGAATGTGTTGTTAGATGCCCCAACTGTTTCACTGTGTAGTTCAGCAAGTAGTTTACCATGTGACACAATTTGCACCGACTTCTGATTTTTTTTCTGATTTTCAGAAGTTTAGCATGCATTCGGGTTTATTTACTAAAGGAGTATAGACTGTTCACATAACAAAGTTTGCTTTGCAAAATTAATGTTTACCGATCGTAGTAAATACGCTCATGCTGTGTTCACTTCATTTAACCTATTCTGTGCTGTAACACATACCTTTGGTGTATTTGGTTCCCGGGAATAAGCTGTGTACAGTTCTTTAAACACCCCTTTGTTTTTGGCAAGCATAGCCTCCTCTTTGTAGATGTGATCAATTTTAGATTCCCGGCACCCAAAGACAAGTATCATTGGACAAGGTTTCAATCCTAAAGGAAAGAAAATACAATAAAATAAAGCAGTGTAATATTTCATATATATA